CCCGGGGCGCCGTGTTGCTTATCGCAGCCGCGTATAAGACAACAAACATCGTTAGAGCAACGACATTTATACGCGACGCGTTATCGGAAATGTCAGACCGGAAATATCCCGTGGAAAACGCGTTCGATCGGATACGCCGATAGCACGTAGTCTCTAACGGGGACCTCGTTCGTCGTCGAAAGAGAGAGAGTGAGAGTGTGGGGGGGGGGGAGAGCGGCAAGGGGGACGTCGGCGGCGGGGGAGGGGGAGGGGGAGGAGGTGCTCGTGTCAGAGGTTCACGCGAGCATGCAGAACCTTTTGAACGGACGCAGCATCCTTGAAACGTAATTCCAGCCGTTCCACTGACATTTTCCGCGGATGTATTTTTACTGCGTATTGCGTAATTGCATCTGGATCTTTACGCGGGAGTAGGCTGCTGCCACCGTCGCCGTCGCCGCCGCCGCCGCCGCCGCCGCCGAGGAGCGCGGGGCGAGGGGAGGACTCGTACACGCCGACGTGGGCGGAAAAGGGTTAAAGTTGAAATTAGACGCCTTTGACGGCTGAACTTTGCTGATAAAACCATTCGCGCCGATACGGCCGGTACACGCGGCGCACGTTCATGGAACCTGGCCGCCACCTCCGCGAGGCGGAGCGTAAACGCTCCGGTTGATGTTGACGACGTCAACATTAGCCGTTAGGGGCCGGCGATAAATGACAATTCAGGTGCTCCTTTACGTCATCCGCTATCGATCAATCTCTTACGTTCGTCGTGCGACACGGCGCGGCGCGGCGCGGCGTGCCGCGGCTTCGGAAGGACGGGACGAATTAAGTGGAGTTAATAGAAATTCGTCAAGATGAAGACGGCGCGGGACGGTCCTCCGCCACTCTCGGCGGGTTTCCCTTTCTTTGCCATGCTTTCAATGTCAAGCCCTTTCAAAGTAACGCGAGGAACGACCGAGTGAAGTCCCGGACCGTCGTTCTTCACCTTATTTCGTCACGATTGCCGAAGGCAAGAGCTTCTCCCCTCCCAAGCTTTCATCCCTTCATTTCCAACGACAGTTGGGAATTACGATATTCCCGGCACCATGAATACAAAATGCGTCTTTTGTTTTCTGTATACATTTTAATTGCTGTCGCCGTGCGACGGAGCAGCTGCGGCTCTCCATCAGATTGGAAGAGAGAGAGAAAGGGGGGGGGGGGAGAGATAATTCAGTAACTTTTATTCATGGTCAGAGGGAAAGCGCTTGCCATTGACAGTTCTGGGAAATGACGTGAGCTCTCCGTGGCGTCATTTATTTATATAAAACTGGCGCGGCCGCTATAAATGTCCCTCTTGGTACCCTATAACTTTTACTTAAACCGTCCCTTTTTTTTCTAAAATCGATACACACTTGGAGAGGGAGAGAGCGAGATTAATCTGCCACGCTTTATACGGGCCTCGCCCCGCATGGCACATGTGGGCTCGGCCGCCTAGTCTCGCCTATAGTTTCTCAACCTTCAAAGGTCTTCCCCGGTGACATATTGAGCCTGCCTTAGATTCCCCATAAATGCCTGGGACCTTTCCCTGTCTCCGGTTATATCATCTCGTTCACGTGGCACCTGGTAACCAAGATGCAAAGTCACGAGAAAATGGAGAGAGCCCGAGTCGAAATTTTGGTGCTATTTTGACACTTTTAAGGATAATTTACACCTTCTTAGCTGATCTATACGCCTACATAGACCAGCAATAACCTACTTTGATGACATTATATTTTTTTACTCCTCCCTTGAAACTTTAATTCTAAAAATTTACTTTAACTCCCACGTAAAAGGACCCACCTTAATGCTACATTGGCAAGAGTAGACATTTCCGACACTATCAGTTTTAAAGTAGGAGTAAATTTTGTATTTGCAGTTCGACCTCTGTTACTGTCTTAGGTCCTACTGTATAATAGATGTAAAGGTTCAACATAGGGCCAAAATTTCGACTCGGGAGAGCGCGGGAGATTATCGCGTTCGCGGATTCGGGGTCTACGGCTCGATCGTGAATCTTTTCCTCTAGCGACTCGCGAAAAGTGAAAACTTGTATCGGCCAATATCGAATTTGTCAATAAGACTTTTCACTTTCACGAGTTCACGCTGGAGGAAAAGATTCATGATCGAATCCCGAAACCTAAACCGCCGGAAATGGAAGCGTTTCCACATTGGGACTGTCGATCGATTGTGTAAGAATTTTGGGCTGTCGTACGAATAGCTTTGAGAGTTATTCTCGAACAGCAACATTTATACGCGTGGTGTGCAATCGCGGGAAAATAAATCCCGTAATTTCGTTATATCGCTCTAGCGTTCTCTCCCCCGTATAAAATTTTCACTCCGCTTATTTCGGCGTAGAGTTCTGCATAGCCGGGGATGTTCTAACGGTGCACCGACCAACGATCCCGGGAGGGATCGACCTACGAGCGAATTGACTCCATTTTCCAATAAAGAGACCGGAAAGCGAGATAAATTTTTCGTTTCCCTTTTTCCTTCTTTATTCGCGGGTCGCGGGAGAGGCTATTTTAACGTGGCTGACGTTAAACAATTGAGATGTAGCGCGGATTTTTTCCCCCCCATCGCCCTCCGTCCCCTCCGTCGGGCGCGGGGGCGGAATTTCGACCCGCGGCGGAGAGACTGAGACGTCACACGTTTGGAGGCGATGACGTTGGGGAAGCGGCGCGGTTCTATGAATGGAGGCGAAGCCTCGGGGATCGAGTCGGCAGGCAAGGACGACTAATTATAGCGTTAGCATCTCTCGACTTCGTTTTGTACATTAACCATGTGCACCGTCACGCACACGTGCGTACGCGCGTGTATTACGGCGCCGCGCTCGTAGTATACGCGGCCGAGATTATGATCCGACACGATGGAGGACACGATCCATTTTGATCGTCGTCGCCGTCGCCGTCGTCGTGCGGGGATGCGAATTCAGGACGGCGAACGTGCGTCACGCTTACCCTTGTCCTGCTGTCGGCACACCTGTGTGTGTGTGTATGCGCGCGCCCGTGTACGTACGGCGTGTCACACAACAGCCACCGACAAATTACCGCGAGAGGAACACTTGCGCGCGATCCCCGAGCCCGATACTCGACAGATAAATCGGACCCAGCGTCGTGCACGTCCTTCCTCCCCGCTCGGGACCGTCCCGATCATGGTGTAAAGATACAAGGCGAAGCTGCTCATGTAACCAATTTTTGGGGCAAATTGTTCATTGGCTCTTCCTGCATTCAACCGCGGTGATTGGCAGTTTGAAGGTCGGAGCAAATTTCTGATCGGTCAATTCGGTAGTTTGAGGATCGGGCAAGTTGGCCAAGAATCAAGGAATCGCCATTAATTGGACGAGTGCGGGAATGTTTCACCTTATATTCTTACACCATGATCCGGATCTTTATTTTAACGACTTTCCGATACGTCGGTGATAAGTATCTCGCCGAGCGTGGGAGCTGGAGCCGTTTCGAATCGTCCGACGTGATTCGGATCGCGAAGGTAGATCTGATTTGGGCTGTTTAACCGAGAGGCTTTTCTGTACCCCGAGGGGATGAACTTTTTTTCAACGGCGACCATTATTACTCCGGTGTTTCGGGCTGATAGGAGATAAGGCGGGTCTCGTACAAATTGACCGGAAAATCTCCCGGTAAAGTCACGGAGTTCTCGATACACAGTGAGTCACGATTATCTCGCGCGCCTGGACGAGTGATAATGGGAGCGATAAAAATGGTCGGCCGAGTTATCCGACGAAATTGGGGACGCGAAAATGGAAGAATTGAAAGGGAACGTGGCACACATCTCCGCGGGAGTGATCTAAACGATAAATTGCCCCGCGCCGCGCGGGAGCGCTTGAAAGGGCGCAATTAAGCTAAAAGTATAGTGTTGCCGGTGACACCGTAAACAGGCAAGGTCGCCGAACAAGCGTAAACGCCGCATGAAAGTGACCGCTGTCTCTAATTATCGCGACGACAGAAGAGTGGGCGTGTATACGCGCGAGTGAAATTACATTCATTCAACGTCGGCGTGCTATTGTGGCAGCTGAACAAATGTATCGGCCACGTTTCGCCCCCCACCCCCCTTCTTCCGCGGCTCCAAGTTTCCGAATTAATTAATAGCAATTCCGCGCTTCTCAAGCGCGTACTCCAGCCGAGTCGGAACGGAGCATCGATTTGGACCCTTTGACGCGCAACGTGCAATTTCCGCGTTATACAAGATTGTAAAGCCGAAAATAATGCGAATGCGAGCCGGCGATTGTTTCCGCGCCAATAAAGCGCGGTTTGTATCGTAGCTGCGCCCCTCCTCTCCGGATCGCAAACGCGTATCGTCCCGTTTAGATGTGTTTTCGCAATTATCCTTCGAAGTATAGCTTGTAACTCGCGCTTGGGATCTTAAAGCGTGTATCCATGAAACACAGTTTTATTTGTTTCTTACACCATATAATAGTCTCATGTTACAACAACGTATTTCTGATTTAAGCGTAATCGTCCAATATTAGTACCTACGTGTATATTCGACGCGATGCCAACACATGTTGAAATCGTAATTTTTCCTGTACGAATTGGCGTAGATAATTATATAATTAATAATTATTGATACTAATTATATAGAATGAAGACGAGACAAAATTAATATTGGTAATAATTTAAGCGGTATGTATAGAAGCAAAGCTAATATTTATAAAATCAATTAGAAATTAAAGAGGCCGTTTAGGACCGGGCATAGGTGTAAGTAGTCAGTTAAATTAAATTATTTAAGTGAATTCATATACCGTATTTTCTTTTCCAATTTATCCTGTGCGCCAGTTACTTACACCTATGCCCGGTCCTAAACGGCCTCTTTAATTTCTAATTGATTTTATATCTTAAAGGACCTATGTTAAAATTGTACTAATATTTATATTTGAGAATTTGTTTTAAATAGAGCTTATGAATATATAGAGGAATGTGCAAATACGTAATATTGATTTCCAGTTGAACAATGCACAATTGCCTTGCTATAAAATACATATCCGCGTCGGAAAAGGATTCAAAAATAGTTTATTGTAACATAATGTACAAGAGAAAAAAGATCTTCACGCATATAAATATATGCGTGCAGAGATATTGTTGAATTAAAAAAAACTGATTCGTACATTATGTTTAAAGTATATGCTGAAATCTAACTCATGTAAACTACAAGGAATAGTTACCTTATCAAATCATGTGAGAAAAAACTTAGAAATATTTTTCGAGAGAACTCTTCAGCTTGTGGGGATCGACGTTAGGGCCGTGTCGCTCGACAACCTTGCCCTCTTTATCCACGATGAACTTGGTGAAGTTCCACTTTATGAAATCACCCAACACGCCACCTTGTTCTTTCTTCAGATACGCCCAGAGAGGATGCGTGTGATCTCCGTTGACGTTAATCTTCTCGAACAAGTCGAATTTTACCTGTGAAAAATACCGGCTACATAAATATCGTAGGTTCATTCATCAAGGAAGGCAGGCGCTTTTCGTCTGCGTTAACATCAGCTCTAACGTCGCCGCTCAAATTGTACAAAGTGACATTACGGTATTAATTTTTTTTTAAGCCAAGTCGAACAAAATATAATGTGCATCTTAATCGGATACGAGAGTTCGCGAACGGAGGAGGAATTACTTTGTGATTGTTGGCAAAGCTGCAAATCTGCTCGCTATCCCCCGGCTCCTGCCCGTTGAATTGGTTACAGGGGAACGCTAGAATCCTTAAACCTGCCGAGTGACGAAAGGTACATTTAATGCCGTTGCGCTCGCTGCATGCGGAACGAATAGTTTTCTATTTCTCCGTAGCGGCGAGAATTACCTTTAGATTCGGCGTACTCGTCGTACAGTTCGTTCAGTTCCTTGTAATTCGTCGGCGTGAGGCCGCATTTCGAGGCGACGTTTACGATCAAGCACACGTGGCCTTCGTATCTGAACCAACGAACAGATGATATTACATCTTTCCCAACAACGCGATGTTACGCTGACACGGCGTGTCGGGTTTATGCTTACTTGGACAAAGGGACTTCCTCTCCCCGGATGGAGTTTGCCGTGAAATCGTAAATCGACGTGGCCGATTTGTAGTCCTTGTTTCCGCTCATCGTTGCTGCGACTGCAATCGAGCATTGAACGTCGTCAAAGTTGCGATCGAATATCGGCGTTGCGCCTCGCGAATGACAGATAATTCATTTCGCAAATGTTAATTAGATTACCATATTTTTTAAGTGTTTTCACAATTTGCCGTTATTTCATTTTCTACAGCTAACATTGACCGCAAAGCGCATTCGTCAAAACGAGGATAGTAAATGCTTCGTGTTTTGTATATTTTTTTACACGAACTGGTAAAGAGTTGCATTAAAACATCGCAAGCTGTGTAAGAGGCAACGTTCGACATTTT